TTTCTTTCTCTCTTTCTTTCTCTTCTCTGTCTCTCTCTTCTTTCCCTCTCTTCCCTCTCTCTTTTCTTTCTCTCTCTCTCTTTCTTCTCTCTTTTTCTCTCTCTTCTCTTTCTCTCTTCCCTCTTTTCTTTCTCTTTCTCTCTTCCCTCTTTCTTTTCTTTTCCTCTCTCTCTTCCCTCTTTTCTTTCTTTCTCTTTCTCTTTTTCTCTCTCTCTTCCCTCTCTCTTTCTCTCCTTTCTTTCTCCTCTCTCTCTCTCTCTCTCTCTCTCTCTCTCTCTCTCTCTCTCTCTCTCTCTCTCTCTCTCTCTCTCTCTCTCTCTCTCTGGATTAGGGAAAAAAAAGGTATCCACCAAAATATAACACTGCTACTCCTCGACTTACAACCTCAGTTGAGCCCAAAGTTTCTGTTGTTTAAGCGAAACATTTGTCAAGTGAGTTTTGCTCCATTTTTCGACCTTTCTTGCCTCCGTTGTTAAGGGAGTCACACTCCAGTTGTTAAGTTAGGCACACGGATGTTAAGTGAATCCGGCTTCCCCATTGACTTTGCTTGTCAGAAGGTCGCAAAAGGGGATCACGTGACCCCGGGACACCGCAACCGTCCTAAGTACATGTCAGTTGCCGAGCCTCCGAATTTTGATCACACGACCCCAGGGATGCCGCAACGGTGTGAAGTCTGAAAAAAAACAGCCCTAAGTCCCTTTTTTTCCCCCGTTGACATCGTAACTTGAAACGGTCACTAAATGAAACCTCGTAAGCCGAGGGCTTCCTGTAGCTTGCAGCTGAATTAGGGACCGGGGGGGGGGGGGCTTCGCGATGAAAAGCAGAGGAGGAAATAGAACGAAACCGGATTGCAACAGAACGAGCCGAGGAAGGGAAAGGCAGCGGGCCAAACCGCAGCCAGCAAAAACCCGGAGATGTGCAGAAACATTAACAAATAAAAATAAAAATTGGCTTTGGAGCAAACGGTAAGACGATGGAGGCTAAATTTGCCCCCAGGAGCAAAGCCAGATTTAGCCCTCCTTGACGGATGTGCTGAGACGGAGACTCCAGAGAGGGACTGGCTGGAGCCAGGAGGGAGACTTAAATGTGATTTAATTCCTCTCGTATTGCACGGTCATTAAAGCTAAGCAGAAGGAATCGTGCACTTCATGGGGGCTGCTCCCCTGCCATCCAATCGCCAGGCCTTCCGTCCAGTTGCGGACTCCCTACGTGTGATTAAAGCGGCTTGATTTGGGCTTCGCACGGAGCAGAGAGGGGTGTGTGGGTTTTTTTGCCCTGTTAACAATTAAAAAAAAAAAAAATTGAAGATGGAGAAACACCCTGTAAAGGAAGTGTCGACAGTTTCTTAATTTCCTTCCTAGTCAGAATGACAGGAAATGAAGAGAGTTTAGCCTCGTGGTTAAGGCAACCGGCTAGATAGCAAGAATCGGTGAATTCTGGCCCTGCCTTAGCCAGGAAAAGCAATTGGGTGATGGGGAGTTCTAGTCCCGCCTTAGACATGAAAGCTTACTGGGTGACTTTGGGCCAATCACCAGGAGACGGTGAGTTCTAGTCCTACCTTAAACATGAAAGGCGATGGGGTGATTTTGGGCCAATCACCAGGAGACGGTGAGTTCTAGTCCTACCTTAAACATGAAAGACTACTGGGTGACTTTGGGCCAATCACCAGGAGACGGTGAGTTCTAGTCCTACCTTAAACATGAAAGCCTACTGGGTGACTTTGGGCCAATCACCAGGAGACGGTGAGTTCTAGTCCTACCTTAAACATGAAAGCCTACTGGGTGACTTTGGGCCAATCACCAGGAGACGGTGAGTTCTAGTCCTACCTTAAACATGAAAGCCTACTGGGTGACTTTGGGCCAAACACCAGGAGACGGTGAGTTCTAGCCCTGCCTGAGACATGAAAGGCGATGGGGTGATTTTGGGCCAATCACCAGGAGACGGGGAGTTCTAGTCCTGCCTTAGCCATGAAAACTGGCTGGGTGACTTTGAGCCAATCACTAGGAGATGCTGAGTTCTAGTTCTGCCTTGGGCATAAAAGCCGGCTGGGTGACTTTGGGCCAATCCCTGTCTCTCTCAGCTCAACTCACCTCACAGGGCCGTTGTCGTTGTGGGGAAAACTGGAGGAAAGTATGTTGGCTACGTTCACCACCTTGAGCTCTTTATAAAAATGATAAAGGTGGGAGACAAATAAAGAAACATTTTTTTTAATGAAAAAGGCTAAAACATAAGCCAGATGGCTTCTGCCATCTGAAACCAGGAATCTGGGTTTGGAATGATGGGACAACTGAGGAATCCTGGCTTAAGTGACACACGATTTGCTCTATGTCTGACACCTTATAACAGAAGTAACAATATTACAGAGTTGGAAGGGACCTTGGAGGTCTTCTAGTCCAGCCCTCTGCTCAAACAGGAGATCCTGTATTGTTTCAGACAAATGCCTGTCCAATTTCTTCTTAAAAACCTCCAGTGTTGGAGAATCCACAACTTCTGGTGGCAAGCAGTTCCACTGGTTAATTGTTCTCATTGTCAAGAAATTTCTCCTTCGTTCTAGGTTGCTTCTCTCCTTGGTTAGTTTCCATCTGTTGCTGCTTCTCCTGCCTTCAGGTGCTTTGGAGAATAGCTTGAAGATTATGATGCTTGAAGATTATGATGGAATCTCTTTATTGGCTTCTTCTGTGGATTAACGAATCGGCCCCAACTATTCATCCTCCTTCTTTCTGATTCTTCCAGCCATCAAAGTGAGCTGCGTGGGCTCCTGTGGAGTGTCCAACAAAATGAACGACACGGCGTGGACCGTGGAAGAGCAGTATTTCAATACTACGCTGTCCCTGGCAGATAAAGGTAAGAAGGTTGAGCAGATCTTTTGGAGATGAAGCTAAAGAAGAAATACGTGTTAGGTGGCTGGCTTGTTTTTCAGGTTCTAAGATTCGAATCCTTGCTTAACTTCTTCATTTTCTTCCTTGGATTGGCCTGGCTGGCAGAAAGAGAATTCTTTGGTGGAGACCTGGGAGTTTTGAGGAGATGGGGCCAATCACTAGGAGACTGTGAGTTCTAGTCCTGCCCTAGCCATGAATGCCAGCTGGATAACCTTGGGCCAATCACCAGGAGACGGTGACTTCTAGTCCCACTTTAGCCATGAAAGCTAGCTGGGTGACTTTGGGCCAATCACCAGGAGATGGTGAGTTCTAGTCCCGCCTTAGCTATGAAAGCCAGCTGGGTGACTTTGGGCCAATCACCAGGAGACGGTGAGTTCTAGTCCCACTTTAGCCATGAAAGCCAGCTGGGTGACTTTGGGCCAATCACCAGGAGACGGTGAGTTCTAGTCCCACTTTAGCCATGAAAGCTAGCTGGGTGACTTTGGG